TAATATAACACAATACATAATACATAATACACATAAACTCTTAACATAATACACATAAACTCTTAACATAATACACATAAATTTCATGTTTCAGATGTACATAATTGTACAAAAAAAAAATGTACATAATTGTATAAAAAAAATGTACATAATTGTATATCATAATGTACATATATAATCGCGTCAACTCCCTACATAACTTACCAAAACGACGTTGTTTTGGGAGACGCAGAGTACATAGTGCTATGTGCGTCGTGGTGCAGGGTATAACGATTGCTTGGAGTTAGGGATTCAACCTTTTTGGGAGAAGATTCTATATTTCCACAATCTAAACTTGGATTCTAATTAATTCGAATTTAAACTCAAAAATGAATTGGTGTAAACTAAAAAATTTAAGACATGTAATACCTTCCTAAAGTATAATACTTTTCCATAAGTTCCTAAAAATTATTATATTTTAGTTAAAATAAATATTACACATCTCTACTTTCAAAAAAAAAATATTACACATCTCTCAATTAATGGTCTCACATAAGATCTACTCTAAGAAAATTATAGAAAGCAAAAGGGAGAGTGTGGACGACCAGGTCAGCTGAAAAATAAGGAAATAAGTAATTCAATTCCAATTAGTATTTATCTCTATTATTTTCTAACCCATTAATAGGTCATCTTTGAAATTTCAGGACCCGTTTACTAACAAAAAATTGTTTTCTATTTTTTGTTTTTTAATTTTTCAGTTTTCAGTCCTTGTTTTCTGTTTAGAAAACTTGTTTACTAACACTTAATTTTTCAAATTTATTTTTTAGATTAATGTTATAAAATTAACACAAGTTTTATTTTGATTAATTTTTAGATCTTATATTTAAAATATTTTTACATATGTTTAGTTTAAATGGAATAAATTTAATTTTTTTTTTTACTTTATTTTAAGATTTTTACATTTGATATCAGAACAAAATTTATATATGTATATAACATAAAAACTAAAAAATATATCCGAACCAATAGCATACTAAGTTCACCAAAAATTTAGTTTAAATAATATTAATATTTTTTTTTGCTAATATTTAAATATTTTTTTGAATATATTCATTTGAATGACATGTATATGAATATATATAACTTTTACTTTGAATTCTAATATATGTGAGATTTCAATATCCGATATCCGGACTGAACTTGTATTACGATCATGGTTGCAATAGGCGCTAGGCGCTAGTCGGGCGGTAAAGTAGCGCCTAGTGCCTAGACGGCCTAGGCGGGGCCTAAGCGGCTTAGGCAGTCGCCTAGGCGGCTAACTGAAAAAATGAAAAACAGTGCACGTGTTAAGGTGTATATATGTCATATTATACATACATACATACATACATACATACATACATACATACATACATACATACATACATATATATATATATATATATATATATATATATATATATATATATATATATATATAAATGAAAAAAATTAGCAAGGTCGAGTTGGCTGGGTTAACTCGGCTAACTCGACAGAAATTGACGAGTTAACTCGACGTAATTGGCCGAGTTAGGCGCTAGGCGACCAAATTAGGCGCCGATTACTCGGTGGCTAGGCGGGATTTTTGCAACCCTGATTACGATATAACATAACTAAAAATATCCGAACTAATAATCTATTGAGTTCAATCAAAATCTAAAAATTGTATAGAGTTCAATGCTTAATTTTGATAATGTAAATAATGTCTAAGTTTAAAAACCTCAACATGGCTTCCTAAAATTGAATGTAGATGCAGCTATTGATAAACAGGGAGCCCGTATGGGATTTGGGTGTGTTCTTAGGAATGATCAAGGCCTTTTTGTGGCAGCTAGAGGCACCCAATGGAAAGGAACTTGCACATCAAAAGAGGCCGAGGCAATTGCGATAAGAGAATCTCTTAGCTGGCTGAAAACTATCAACATGGACCGAGTGATCATCGAGACCGATTCTCTCCTAGTGGTACAAGGGCTCAATGCAAACATGGGAAACTCTTCTTTTCATCTTGTTTGGCGGGAAATTAAAAACTTACTGAGTGTCTTTACTCACAATAGTTTAGTCTTTGCTAAACTATCTGCGAATCAGGCAGTCCACTTGTTGGCTAGGCAGTCTGTTTCTATGCCAAGTTGTTTGGAGTCGTTTACAAACCCTCCACCTATCGTTTGTAATGTGTTATCTACGGACTTGAATTAATCTAGTGCTTCTATTTTCCAAAAAAAAAAAAATGTAAGCAAATAAGTTATGTATAAATAAGTAAAGTAAGTAGAAAACATAGAAGATGGTGATAAGTAAAATAGATGATAATGAATGTAATTATAGTAATGTGGTTATAGTGACATATAACCAAATTGATGATAGATGATTCTGTTTTCTATTTTGAAAACAGTTTTTAAGAGTGTTCCAGTTTTTTAGAAAACTGAAAAATTATTTTCAGTTTTAAAAATTGAAAACTGTACTTTACTAGTAAACATGTTTTCTGTTTTATGTTTTTCAATTTTCGAAAGTTCGTGAAAATTTCCTGTTACTAAACGCCCCCCCAAAAGTCTAGCTTCTGTGCCAGGGCCGATCTAGTACCAAAGGACCAAAAGTTGAAATGCAAGGCAACCTAACTAAGTTGATGAGCGATTGACTTATTAATTATAATGTTATGAGTTCGACATTTCATGAGAGAAATGTTTATTTGTCTTCTTGATTTAAATTAACTAGTTAATAATGGATAATCTAAGCAAAATTTATTTAATACACATCTTAAATAGTGATTACGAATCACCCCATTTCTCAAAAAGTTTAAATGCAATAACTAAAAAGCAACGATCCAATTACGCAATCCATCAATTTTGAACAGTTTCCTTTATTATTGTATGAATGAACTATCATCTTTTATTGCTCACAAGGGGCGGATCCTGAGGGGGCAATCAGTTGTTCCCCCTCCCCAACCCACCCCACCCCACCATTTTATATATATTGTATGTATAGGTCCTTATATATATATGGAATAAGGGTCAAATAGGTCACATAACTGCACATCAAACTATAATTAGGCCATCAAACTCAAAAAAGATGCAATTAAGTCCCTGAACAACGCAAAATCGTGCAATTAGATCCAAAATAATCTGTTTACCTGAAAAAGCAGTTACTCATTTTAAAAATAATTTTAAATAAAATAATTTTTAAAAAAAACTATAATTGCTGGAGACGAATCGTCTCCGGCAGGCTTCTTCTTCATTGCCGGAGACGAAGGTCTCTTCGTCTCTATGGCCGGAGACGAGGGGATGGTCTCCGACCATGGTAGACGAAGGCCATGGCCAGGTTCGTCTCCATGGCCGGAGACTATCCCTTTGTCTCCGGCCATGGAGACGAACCCTGCCGGAGACGATTCGTCTCTGGCAATTCTAGTTTTTTTTTTAAAAAAAAAATTAATTAATTAATTATTTTATTTAAAATTATTTTTAAAATCGATAACTGCCACATCAGCACAATTTTAGATAAACAGGTCATTTTGGACCAAATAGCATGATCTTGTGTTGTTTAGAGACCTAATTGCATCTTTTTTGAGTTCAGTGTGTGTGTAAACATTTACGGGGCGTTTGGTTTGAGGCAGGGAATTACGTGGGAAAGGAATTGCAATTCCATGGGAAATGAATTACTGGGAATAAAGTGGAATTTAAATTTCAGTGTTTGTTTTACAGGAATAAAATTACTGGGAATTTCAATTTCAATGTTTGGTATACATGGGAATTGAAAATGAATAAGTAATATAAAGTCCAAAATGCCCATTGTTTTTGTCAGGCATTAATTTTAAGTTAAAAAGGGAAAGGATAATTTTGTCTCATCATTATCTTTTTTCCTATTAAAATCCCAATGGGGGAGGGGGGAGGGGGGCATGAGATTTTAATTCCATGAAAATGAGAGAATTGCAATTCCTTCTAACCAAACTAAGGAATCTAGTGGTCTTTGGAATTAGGTGGAATCAAGTTGGAATGAAATTTAAATTCCTTTCAACCAAACGCCCTGTTATATATACTAAATTAAGTATACACAAATGTTTTCCAAAGAATAAACTAGCTTAGATGGTAAAATTATTATAATATATGGTTAGTGTCTTAAATGTCATGAGTTTTACATCAGTGCTTGATCTCACTTAACCCTCCCTATATATATAAAATTTATTATTTATTATTTTGTAGTTTTCTTTATTAAAAAAAAAAAAAACTAAATTTAGAAAATTCTCCAAATAAAAGTTTTATATTAACCCCGTTCAAAATTTATTTTATATATCTACCATAGGTTGTTCATAGTTGATTGGTTCAAAGCAAAAAAATCAATAAAAAACATCATCTCGATGAACTCAGCTAGGGTTGCCCACAAAATGTTTTCTCTTGCATATATATTAAGCTATTTGCGACCATGACTATGTGGTCTAATGGTACCCGGGTTGGACTTCTATTTGGAAGATTGTGAGTTTGAGCCTCAGTGGAGGCTTTATTGGTTCTTTGTGTTTCAGTAGGTTGAGAAAGTATATGAACAGATACTACAATCTAATAGAGCCAGTAGCTTTCAGTAGCTTTCAAAAAAAAAAAACCATTTGCGTGGATGAAATCCTATCTCATTTTCAAAAGTGAACCCTATTACCAAATCACCAAATTTGTAATTAATCATTATTTACCCTAAAAAATAGTTCCACTTTCACATAACCTTAAAAACAAATTATTTTCTTATATTTACATATTATTATTATTATTATTATTTTTACAATTAATCTCTTTTATCACTATTAATGTCTCGGTCGGGTCCAATTAAGTATTTATCTTCCTATTTTCTAACCCATTAATAACTCCAATTTGAATTTTCAGAAGACTTCTCATTGCTAATTAGTGATACAACCTGTGCCTCTTATATAAATAGGCTATGGTATTGATCACACCACCCCATCACAAACAACAACATCCAAAAAGTTAGAAATTAAATATATATATAGTGATATGATGGCCACTTCTCAAATGCTGTTGTCTTTTGTTATTCATATTCTTCTTCTGTTTTCACTTCCTTTGGAGACCACAGCAACATCAGAAAGAAGAGAGGGAAGTGCCCTTCTCAAGTGGAAGAACACTTTATCCAATATCGATGTTCTTCATTCATGGTCCATTGTTAATCTTGACAACGTTTGTTGGAACTGGACAGGCATCAATTGCAGCAATGTTGGAGTTGTTTATGAGATAAAGTTGGACAATTTCAACCTTTCAGGTACACTCGAAAGCTTTGATTTTGTTTCATTTCCTAGCCTCACCCGTTTTAGTCTCTATAACAACAGCTTTACTGGATCAATTCCATATGAGATTGAATGGTTAACAAACCTCAAGTTCTTGAACCTAAGTGAAAACCATTTGTATGGTTCAATACCTCCAACAATTGGAAATCTAACTTCACTTTGTTCCCTCTATTTGTATTCCAACATGTTGCAAGGAAATGTTCCCGAAACACTCTGCAAACTTCACTCCCTTGAGAATCTCTATTTATCTAGAAATAATTTGAGTGGTCAGATTCCTCAATGTCTAGAAAATATAACCTCCTTGAGATATTTTTATCTCTCCGACAACATCATGTTGCAAGGAAATATTCTGGGAATACTTTGCAAACTTTACTTCCTTGAAGGTATTGATTTATCCAGAAATACTTTGGGTGGTGAGATTCCTCAATGTTTGGGAAATTTAACCTCATTGAGATTTCTTTTTCTCACCTCCAACAATTTGCAAGGAAATATTTCTAAAACAATTTGCAAGGTTCAATCTCTTAAGAATCTCGATTTATCTTGGAATAATTTGAGTGGTCCGGTTCCTCAATGTTTGGGAGATATCACCACACTGAAATATCTTTATCTCCACTCCAATATGTTGAAAGGAAATATCCCGGAAACACTTTGCAAACTCTATTTACTTCAAGGTCTTGTTTTATATAACAATACTTTGAGTGGATTGATTCCTGGATGTCTAGGAAATTTAACCTCATTGAGATATCTTTCTCTTTCCTCCAATAAGTTGCAAGGAAATATTCCTAGAACACTTTGCAAATTTCGCTTCCTTTGGAATTTTGATTTATCTGGCAACTATTTGAGTGGCATGGTTCCTCAATGCTTGGGAAATGTAACCTCTCTCATATTTCTTTATCTCAACTCCAACAGCATGTTGCAAGAAAATATTCCAGGAACACTTTGCAAACTTCATTCACTTGAGAATCTTGATTTATCTAACAATATTTTGGGTGGTCCTATTCCTCAATGTCTAGGGAATGTAACATCGTTGAGATATCTTTATCTCCATTCCACAAGGTTGCAAGAAAATATTCCTAGATCGCTATGCAATCTTCATTCCCTCGAGGGTCTTAATTTAGCAAACAATGCATTGGAAGGTATGATTCCTTTGTGCATGGGAAATATAACCTCAGTAAAATATCTTTCTCTCCATTCCAATCGGCTGAAAGGAGCCATTCCAGGATCACTATGCAATCTTCAGCAGTCACTTGAAGTTCTACTTCTATCCAACAATAATTTGGATGGCCCAATTCCTCAGTGCCTGGGAAAATTGAAAAAGCTGACAACTCTAATTGTTTCTAAAAGCCAGCTTCAAGGAACTATAACTCCAACTCCAACACTTAGAATTGGCACAAATCAAACAATAAATTCCAGTTTGACTTATGGAATGGATGCATGGTTGTGCAATTTGAGTTCCCTACAATTTCTTGATCTATCTGACAACTATTTACACGGTCCATTACCTCCGTGTTTAGAGAACTTCAGCAGGGGTCTTAGGGTTATAAATTTAGCCCGAAATCAATTTGAGGGAAGTATCCCAGGAGTATGCACAAAGGGAAGCATCTTGGAGTATTTGAATTTGAATGGCAATGACTTGGAAGGGTCATTACCACTGGGCTTGGTAAATTGTACATCTCTTAAATTTTTAGATCTTGGGAACAACATGTTACATGATTCATTCCCTCATTGGTTGGATACTCTTCGTGATTTGCGTGTTCTTGTGCTGAGATCTAATCATTTTTATGGAGAAATATGTACTTCTAATACTACACTTCCATTCACAAAGCTGCACATATTTGATGTCTCACACAATGAGTTCACTGGTCCTTTGCCAAGATATTATATGGAAAACTTTGAAGCCATGCAGCATGAAATTGATAATGAAAAGTTATCATCTTTTGAAACTTCAATAAGCCTAGTGTGGAAAGGGGTGGAGCAACAAGTGGTACATTACAATATCTGCACATCTCTTGATTTATCAAAAAACCACTTCCACGGTGAAATTCCAAAATCTTTAGGATGGCTTCGTGTCATCAGGCTTCTCAATTTATCACACAACCAGCTCACTGGCAATATTCCATCATCACTGGGAAATGTAACCATTCTTGAGGCACTCGATCTGTCATCAAATAAACTAGTGGGTGAGATTCCAAAACAACTTCCAAGATCACTGACATTCCTCGCTGTACTAAATCTTTCTTATAATTATCTTTCTGGTCATATACCTCAAGGCTTACAATTTGACACATTTAGCAAGGATTCCTATTTGGGAAATGCTGCTTTATGTGGATTACCACTAACGCTACAATGCCAAAACAAGGGTGGAGGGAAAGCGCCAAATGTGAAGGATTCACAAAATTTTCGAGTTGAAATTGGCTGGCAAAGTGTTGTTGTGGGATACTTCTCTTGTGCACCTTTTGGTATTGCCATAGGATATCTCATGTTTAAGCATGGAAAACCTCGATGGCTTGTAAGGTTAATACTTGGGGACTAAAAGTGGAAGTGCAATTATCAAGAAGGATCGGTCATACGAAGCAATTCAGCAGTCTTGATGCATTATAGGATCTCTTATTATTATATAGCAATTCAGCAATCTTGTGGTTTTTGTTGTCTTTTTCTATAGTTGTTATTCTGTGATTGTAGTGTTTGGTTTGTAATTCTTTGCAATCTGCTTGAAATGGAACAAATCATTACACATATATGTGAAGATGTATATGAAAGTTGTTAACATATATTTTGTCTATCTCATTTTATATGTCTGATTCCATTAATGAAATTTGACTCAAATTATTTTTTATTCAATTTTTTTGTTGAACAAGCTGTGGACTTCTATTGAATTAGAAAAATCAGGAATTATGTAAATTTTGTATTGGTTTAATTATTAGTCAAGTCAAATGTTGACGCTGTTTTAAGTAAAAGCCAAAATGAGTATAATGTTAATACTACATTCTGTGTAAAGCATACTGCCAATTGGCAACATTAACAACAACAACGTTAGACCGTAGCATTCAAATGTTCATCATATCACAATCTGGTTAATTTTTGTTCATAAGCACAACAACACAAGACACAAAAATTCATAACATAACACACAATTACTAATTTGTTCTAAGTACAGAATTAATACTATTAATGTACAAAATTTTATAGTACAAAACACAAAAAGTTAAAAAACAAAACACATACACATGAACGAGGGTCCACAGTATAGTGTGAATCCGGGTCAATGGTATAAGAATTGCCCAAAAGACTTGCCAATTTTTTATGGCAGAATTATATATATACTTTCTGCATGTCTTGCAATTTCGTATTTCATTTACAGTGCCCGGCCTGCAAGAATGTGCATTGACTTGAATTGTTGAATTGGTCAAGACCGGCAGGACTGAATTCATATATTAATTAATGATGACTAGTAAATAGTAATCATGCAAATTATATCATATATGGACCAAGATTCATTTTGCATTGTAGACCCTGATTCAAAATGACATTCAAATATATTGTTAGGAACAAATGTATTTAGATTTTGATGATACCAAACTAGGATTGTAGACCCCTCTTTTTACCTTCGTTTCGCTGCTTCATTCGTGTTAAACGAAAGCAATCTCAACTCATCTTGTGATTCGGTTAAGTAGCACATTTTCACGAATCTGTGTTGTGTTAAGTAAATTAGGTCTACCCGAAGAAGAGAAGATAAAGAGAAGGCCGAGAGAACAATTTAGACCGAAACATGGAAGGGTCTAACTCTTGTGTAAACGTCAAATGATAAGAAAGATCACTTGACTAGAAGAAAGACGAAAGAAAAGGACTATCTTTCGTTTCCGAGACAAAAAGTCTAAGTCAGACTTAAATAGGCAATTTCTATATGTGAATAATAAGAATGTTTGTCTATGTCTTACAACTAGGCAATCATCCTAGACAAAAGGAATCATAGGAATGATATTCACAAAAACCAAGAAGCATTAATTGATTAGTACATTTGTCAGTGAAAAAGGACAAAAGGAGAAACAACTTTTGCCACCAACGCCTGCACAGTACAGTCAAATTAAATGATTCATGCCCAATGGTTATTACACACTGGTTAATAGGTTTGAATCTCCATCTCCCTCCAACGGGTGGATTTTCTTCTCCTATAAATACCTCTCTTCACCACTGAAGAAGGTACTGGTTTTATAACTGATTTTATCTTAAGAAAAGCTCTTCAAACAAGTGCCATCCAAAAGCTTTCATTAACCAGCGTGTGACTGTGAAGTTTTTCAAGAAGCTCACATCCAAATTTCATACTTCACAGTCTGAAGAAATCTTGCATCTCTGATAAGCCTCAAAACATGCTAAGTTTCCAATAGCTTTTCTTAGGTTTTGCATGTGCTTCTTAATCGAAAAGTCTTATTTTTAGAGCTTATAATAGTAAAAGCACAAGTTTGTACGAAATTACCTTCCTAATTATAGTTTGTGTTTTTGGACAGTTTAGGACATAAAAAGTGGTGGAAAGGTCGAAAGAACCAAAGCCGAGGAAAGGGCGCGCAAATGGACCGTACACGCCAAGGCTACGCACGAAGAAGAAGGACGGAATGTGAATTATTTCCCATTCATGCCCCTCCTCACGCCGTGAGGGCTGCGCGAACGGGATCTTAAAGAGACCGAGAAGCTCAAACACGGAGGAAGTAATTCCCCATTCATGTCGGCGTCACGGTTGAAGTATTTAAGGCTTGGACTTCATTTTTTAGGGGGAGACAAATTTTTCCTAGAGAGATTTTTATTAGTTACAATCAGATTTTAGAGAGAGGTTTGATGGTTTAGAATAGGTTTCTAGAGAGAGATTTAGATCTACATTAGCAAACACCTTGTATTGGCTAGATTTTGCAAAGGAGCATTGAAGATTCAAAGCAATTGGCTAGTGGAATTTCATCAATGATTTGTATTTGGTGGATCTAAACAATTTAGGGTAAAATCTATTTTGTGCTTTATTGTTATATCTCTTTTTGCTCGTTGATTGTTGAGATCTTAATCATGCTTGGCTAAATCTAGTGGCTAGGGTTGAGGTGTAGATTGTTGTTGTGATGATGCTTTGACTTGTTTATCTTGTGCTATTTGATTGATTGTTGACTATGTGGATGTGTTGTTGTTGAGGATAGTCTTTGTGACATTCTTGGAGTGGGGCCCAACTCCATGGATGGTGTAGGAAACCTAGATCTAGGCAAGAGATTGCTAGATCCGGGTAGCCTTGATCCTCTTCATTTCCCCATCTTCGATCCGAGAGGGCAAGACCTGGAAAGGAGTGAGTGCAAAGTGTTTGCTTAAATGCCCCGTAGAGAATAAGAATTCTTACGGGCGGTGTTTAGACTGAATCAGCTAATGCATTAGCAATCCACTTCTCTTGACTTGTAGCGCACAATCAAATCACCACAAGCCTCTTATTTCGGGATTGACCAATCACACAACACAATCGAAACCCAATCCTAACCGCCTCTTCTCTCTCTGAGTAAATTCCTATCTCCCGATCTAGCTTTCCTAGTTTCAAGTTCTTTGCCAACCAGCAACGTCAAAACCAACTTCGTCAAACAACTTCTCTCACTCGAGTCTTCAAGTGTTTCGATAACCTCACCCTTCTCTATAGCCCAACTTCCAAGTTGTCATTCGCCGAGGGAACGACACTCGGGGTGGTTCTAACTCCCCGTTTTACCATCTATCCATAGCAATCACAACCATACTACTTCAATATTTTGACCACGCTTTCAAGAATCACAACCATAAGCGGAGAAATTAAAGGGTCAAAATGGCGCCGTTGCCGGGGAATGGCAAACGGTGCATAGCTTGACCTTGTGAGTACGTGAGGAAGGACAACCTTGAAATTCGATTGAGTTTTCTTTTTCTCTGCTCATTTCTTTCATTATACCCTACAGTGTAGCTACGTTTAGCAACATTGCTTTCAAGACCAAATTTGAAGTTGATGCACACCAGATCAGACTGAACAGAAGGGTTGATTCCATTAAATCTAGAAATTCAAAGAACTTCAAAAAGAAGGCTAAGAGCCGAAGCAAATCAGGAGCTAACAAGAAATATGGCATCCACAAGTACAGGTACCAACCAACTATCTCAGCCAGGAGTAAATATTTTTTACGGTTCTCCACGAAGAGAAAACTTGAACAACGATTTAGGACGAGATGAAGAAGCACCAGGATATGTGGACGACCGAAATAGAGCTGAGCAACCAGGAGAAAGACATATGAGAACAATCGCGGAGTATATGACTTCCGAGTTCTCTATGCACAATTCAATCTATATCCAGCCCATGGAGGGATTAATTTCACCATCCATCCTTCGGTTATCAACATGATCCAGAGTAATCCATTCAGTGGATTACCATCGGAAGATCCACATACCCACTTGACAAGATTTGTAAGAGCCTGTAGTATGTTTAGACCCAATTGTAACACCCCCGTGTTACGGCCTTTAATCCTAGATTAATTATTTAATTAATCCTGTTAATAATACTTAAAAAGGATTTAATTTGGTTAGGATTCCCTTTAATTAATGAATGTGGTCCACCATGGATTGGGGACCCTTGCCTAAACTAGAGTCTTAAGCCTATTAGGAATAAAGAGAGTGGACCTTCCACTATTCAGATTCTAAATAGGAATCCTAGACCTATTAGGAATAAAGATAGTAGGCCTTTACTACTCAGATTCTAATTAGGAATCCTAGACCTATATACATGTTAGTAATAGAATATAGGTCTTTACTATTCAGACTCTGATTAGGATTCCTAACTCTATAAATAGGGGATTAGAAAGCAATTAGAACCCTTACCACCCATAGTTATATTACACGAAATTATTCCCAGGAGATTCCCCACCACCAAGCCTAGGGAGATCAATCGGATGGAAATCTTAGAGAAGAACCTTAATGCCAAGGTGGGATTAATTAAGGCTAAGAGGTAACCCATGTCTTGACAAAACCTATTTTCCTTGCAATATCTTATTCATTGGCTCCTTTGATAATTGTATGTGTAATTCTGTGATTGAGTCTTGATAGAGCCTTGCTTAGGGTTTATATTGTGTTTATGTGATAATCTTGATGTTCTTGATACTATGATTGATTATATGAATGATCTTGTATTTTGATCATGTCTAGAGCCCTAGGGTTATATCGTGAATTTCGTATTATGTCGTTTTGGGTATATTTGGGTGGGGTTATGCATGACCGGGTGTTGAGTCTAGCCTAGGACTTGTGTTTAGGACTTTGCATATAGATTTCTTGATATTCTTGTGGTTCCGGATGCTCCTGAACCGTTATATGATTAATGTAGAGTCTTGGCATGTTTAGGAATCGTGTTAGAATGTATTTGGTATAATTCTTGATTTAATCCCATTAATTGAATCCGTGGTGTTGTCGTTATGTGTTTGAATGTGTCTGGACATGGTTTCGGGTTCCACGAGAGATCCCGGGGCCGAAAGTTGCCTGTGTATCAGTGGGGGGTAGGTGGGTGGATTG